GGAAACATTTCTTTTTCTTCAATGCTTAATTTTTCATATAATTTAGAAATATTATCATTAAAGAACTTCCAATTTTTTGTAGAAAAATGTGAAAGAGCTATCAAAAATATGTGGATTTGTTTGTATTTTTTCAATGCACTAAAAAATATATAAATACTTTCAGTTGTATCATAAGATCTATTCTGCTATTTAATTTAAATGTAATTACTTTTCATTTACCTTGGCCTTTTCAATGTAAGCACAGCTAAGCAATCAATGAATATCGCAGGTATAATATGTACAATCATTTTTAAAATTGATAAATAGGAGATTTTGTTGGTAACAATTAAAAATGGTGACCAAACAGTATTCAGAAGTGGATACTCATCTGCATTTAATTTGATCAATTGATCCAATTCACCCCATGTTATAGGATTATCCACAGGTACATGATTGTACACTGGAATATCTGACGACCTACAAAAGAAAATTATTAATAAAAAATAGAGGAAAAAAACACGGGTTGCACTCCGGGAGTGCTGGCAGAAGTGAAAACTTGAATATTAACGTAGTGCATTTTTGATTTTTTGGAATAGTTAGGGAATAATTTTGAACGAATGCCTATTATTATTCCAATTTATTCCAATTTATTCCAATTTATTCCAATTTATTCCAATTTATTCCAATTTATTCCAATTTATTCCAATTTATTCCAATTTATTATAATTTATTCCAATTTATTCCAATTTTTTCCAATTTATTCCAATTTACTCCAATTTATTCCAATTTATTCCAGTTTATTCCAATTTATTCCAATTTATTCCAATTTATTCCAATTTATTCCAATTTATTCCAATTTATTCCAATTTATTCCAATTTATTCCAATTTATTCCAATTTATTCCAATTTATTCCAATTTATTCCAATTTATTCCAATTTATTCCAATTTATTCCAATTTATTCCAATTTATTCCAATTTACTCCAATTTATTCCAATTTATTCCAGTTTATTCCAATTTATTCCAATTTATTCCAATTTATTCCAATTTATTCCAATTTATTCCAATTTATTCCAATTTATTCCAATTTATTCCAATTTATTCCAATTTATTCCAATTTATTCCAATTTATTCCAATTTATTCCAATTTATTCCAATTTATTCCAATTTATTCCAATTTATTCCAATTTATTCCAATTTATTCCAATTTATTCCAATTTATTCCAATTTATTCCAATTTATTCCAATTTATTCCAATTTATTCCAATTTATTCCAATTTATTCCAATTTATTCCAATTTATTCCAATTTATTCCAATTTATTCCAATTTATTCCAATTTATTCCAATTTATTCCAATTATTCCAATTTATTCCAATTTATTCCAATTTATTCCAATTTATTCCAATTTATTCCAATTTATTCCAATTTATTCCAATTTATTCCAATTTATTCCAATTTATTCCAATTTATTCCAATTTATTCCAATTTATTCCAATTTATTCCAATTTATTCCAATTTATTCAATTTATTCCAATTTATTCCAATTTATTCCAATTTATTCCAATTTATTCCAATTTATTCCAATTTATTCCAATTTATTCCAATTTATTCCAATTTATTCCAATTTATTCCAATTTATTCCAATTTATTCCAATTTATTCCAATTTATTCCAATTTATTCCAATTTATTCCAATTTATTCCAATTTATTCCAATTTATTCCAATTTATTCCAATTTATTCCAATTTTATTCCAATTTATTCCAATTTATTCCAATTTATTCCAATTTATTCCAATTTATTCCAATTTATTCCAATTTATTCCAATTTATTCCAATTTATTCCAATTTATTCCAATTTATTCCAATTTATTCCAATTTATTCCAATTTATTCCAATTTATTCCAATTTATTCCAATTTATTCCAATTTATTCCAATTTATTCCAATTTATTCCAATTTATTCCAATTTATTCCAATTTATTCCAATTTATTCCAATTTATTCCAATTTATTCCAATTTATTCCAATTTATTCCAATTTATTCCAATTTATTCCAATTTATTCCAATTTATTCCAATTTATTCCAATTTATTCCAATTTATTCCAATTTATTCCAATTTATTCCAATTTATTCCAATTTATTCCAATTTATTCCAATTTATTCCAATTTATTCCAATTTATTCCAATTTATTCCAATTTATTCCAATTTATTCCAATTTATTCCAATTTATTCCAATTTATTCCAATTTATTCCAATTTATTCCAATTTATTCCAATTTATTCCAATTTATTCCAATTTATTCCAATTTATTCCAATTTATTCCAATTTATTCCAATTTATTCCAATTTATTCCAATTTATTCCAATTTATTCCAATTTATTCCAATTTATTCCAATTTATTCCAATTTATTCCAATTTATTCCAATTTATTCCAATTTATTCCAATTTATTCCAATTTATTCCAATTTATTCCAATTTATTCCAATTTATTCCAATTTATTCCAATTTATTCCAATTTATTCCAATTTATTCCAATTTATTCCAATTTATTCCAATTTATTCCAATTTATTCCAATTTATTCCAATTTATTCCAATTTATTCCAATTTATTCCAATTTATTCCAATTTATTCCAATTTATTCCAATTTATTCCAATTTATTCCAATTTATTCCAATTTATTCCAATTTATTCCAATTTATTCCAATTTATTCCAATTTATTCCAATTTATTCCAATTTATTCCAATTTATTCCAATTTATTCCAATTTATTCCAATTTATTCCAATTTATTCCAATTTATTCCAATTTATTCCAATTTATTCCAATTTATTCCAATTTATTCCAATTTATTCCAATTTATTCCAATTTATTCCAATTTATTCCAATTTATTCCAATTTATTCCAATTTATTCCAATTTATTCCAATTTATTCCAATTTATTCCAATTTATTCCAATTTATTCCAATTTATTCCAATTTATTCCAATTTATTCCAATTTATTCCAATTTATTCCAATTTATTCCAATTTATTCCAATTTATTCCAATTTATTCCAATTTATTCCAATTTATTCCAATTTATTCCAATTTATTCCAATTTATTCCAATTTATTCCAATTTATTCCAATTTATTCCAATTTATTCCAATTTATTCCAATTTATTCCAATTTATTCCAATTTATTCCAATTTATTCCAATTTATTCCAATTTATTCCAATTTATTCCAATTTATTCCAATTTATTCCAATTTATTCCAATTTATTCCAATTTATTCCAATTTATTCCAATTTATTCCAATTTATTCCAATTTATTCCAATTTATTCCAATTTATTCCAATTTATTCCAATTTATTCCAATTTATTCCAATTTATTCCAATTTATTCCAATTTATTCCAATTTATTCCAATTTATTCCAATTTATTCCAATTTATTCCAATTTATTCCAATTTATTCCAATTTATTCCAATTTATTCCAATTTATTCCAATTTATTCCAATTTATTCCAATTTATTCCAATTTATTCCAATTTATTCCAATTTATTCCAATTTATTCCAATTTATTCCAATTTATTCCAATTTATTCCAATTTATTCCAATTTATTCCAATTTATTCCAATTTATTCCAATTTATTCCAATTTATTCCAATTTATTCCAATTTATTCCAATTTATTCCAATTTATTCCAATTTATTCCAATTTATTCCAATTTATTCCAATTTATTCCAATTTATTCCAATTTATTCCAATTTATTCCAATTTATTCCAATTTATTCCAATTTATTCCAATTTATTCCAATTTATTCCAATTTATTCCAATTTATTCCAATTTATTCCAATTTATTCCAATTTATTCCAATTTATTCCATTTATTCCAATTTATTCCAATTTATTCCAATTTATTCCAATTTATTCCAATTTATTCCAATTTATTCCAATTTATTCCAATTTATTCCAATTTATTCCAATTTATTCCAATTTATTCCAATTTATTCCAATTTATTCCAATTTATTCCAATTTATTCCAATTTATTCCAATTTATTCCAATTTATTCCAATTTATTCCAATTTATTCCAATTTATTCCAATTTATTCCAATTTATTCCAATTTATTATTCCAATTTATTCCAATTTATTCCAATTTATTCCAATTTATTCCAATTTATTCCAATTTATTCCAATTTATTCCAATTTATTCCAATTTATTCCAATTTATTCCAATTTATTCCAATTTATTCCAATTTATTCCAATTTATTCCAATTTATTCCAATTTATTCCAATTTATTCCAATTTATTCCAATTTATTCCAATTTATTCCAATTTATTCCAATTTATTCCAATTTATTCCAATTTATTCCAATTTATTCCAATTTATTCCAATTTATTCCAATTTATTCCAATTTATTATTCCAATTTATTCCAATTTATTCCAATTTATTTCAATTTAAAAAATATCGACAATCGAAAGAACACAATCGATTGTTCGATTAATCGATTTCGATGTTACAACACTACTCTCCAACCGTCTTACGAATTTTCGATCAGCCCACGTGTCCTGACGTGAGTTTAACAGTTTTTACCCATCCCACAAAAGTACTCAACGCTGCTAAAGAAGTTTTCACTTCAACAAGAATTAGTTTAGACAAGAGAAACACAGAAAAAATAGAATAATTAACTATTGAATGAGTATAAACATTTAATAGAACAACTATATAAGTATTCCTAGGTTAATTAAATACGGAGTTCCCCAAGGAACTGTGTTAGGTCCTATACTTTTCAACATTTTATTAAATGATTTATTTTTTCAAGAAATTTAAGTATTTTGTATAAAAATATGGATATACGACCCTTAAATTTGAAAGGATAGAATCTTACAGTATTATTCACCGATTGGCAATGAGATACACGTTAAATGGGCTGAACAACGTTATTTCGGGCTATACAAAGTACTACTTGTATATAGAATGATCTGCACAATGACCGTTGTATATAAAGACTAAAGAATTCTTAATATAATAACGTACTTTTCAAATTTTATAGAGCAATCCCAAGCTGTACCAATAAGACCAGCCACACAAGTGTCTACTGGTATGCAATAAGAATCTTTTTTCAAATCGGCTACCACAATTCTCAATAATCCTGCCATCATCATTGCATATACTCCTGTTGGTCCATAAAAATTCTCTGTCCAACCTTCTATTGGTTCCTTGTATGTTGATATCACTAAAAAAAATAAAATTAAATAAAGTAAATTGTTATAAATTGGTTGTCTGTCTTCTGAAAGCGTAGTTCTTGTATACAAGAGTTAAACGAATGTTTCTTTCAGACGAATTTTATAAATTTTCAAAGGTAATATCAGAAGAGATGAGAATTTTTTAAAAACAAGAAATCAGGGTGTGAGTAAATAAAAAATAAATCCAAAACTAATGGTACTTGTAATGTCGCCACAATTTCCTTGGACATTTTGTTTCAATGCTTTGGGGACACCGTTTTTACAGATAGTGATGCTATTTGATGCTATAGAGACGTATGCGGACTCAAACGTATCCTGAACTACTCTATTTATGACTTTCTTGAGCATCAATGTTGGTTTACACAGTAGATATCCAAAGCCAATTTTCTCCTAACTTTTTTTTCGGAATTCTCCTAACTTTTTCAATCTTTCTCCTAACTTTCATTTCGTGACTCGTCTGTGTTGTAGATTATTTTCAAAGTATCATCGGCTATATTTTTGTCATTCTTACCTAATATGCTACTCTACTATCATTACTGGTGTTACATTCGCTTGTCTAAATCGTTTTTTCCATATAAATTTAAAACGGCATATGCGATTTTGCTGAAATTTGGTACATTGGTAGAGTTTTATGTGGCAAAAAAAATGGTATTAAAATTTTGTCCGATAATAATACTGTAGTGCTTCGTACTACATATTACTCTTCTCTTTGTCATAATTAAAGTTCTATGACATTGGCAGGAAACAGGATTGAGTCTCATGCCACCACGAAACATTCTAAAGTGCCATTCACATAACAAAAATAAAACGTCGAAATGACAAAGTGGAAATGACTGGTTTAAGGTTATAACATTTATCTATCAACGTAATTATGACAGAGAGAAGAGTAATATGTAGTACGAAGCACTACAAATACATAGGCGTAGAACTTGATTTTTTAAATAATTGCACCTTTAAAAATTCTACGCCAATGGAAGAAAAGGAATTTGAGTATGAAATTTAGATTTCGCAACTCATTTACTTTAAAAAAGGTACTCTTGATAAGACTCGATTACTCTCATGGTTTTCGCTAAATTTCTGTTTTAATAATTTAGAGTGTATAGGTTTCACAAAAATATTTATTTACAACATAATCAAAATAGAGATTTTACAAAAATTGTTCAAAATGTTCACCATTTTCACGCATACAAAGATTTATACGTCGAAGAAAATTAAAATGTATCCTTTCCTTAACCTATTCATCACCTCTAAGATTGTTTATTGCATCTTGAATACGTTGCCAGAGTTGTTCCTCATTTTCTACAGGTTCCCTGTAAACTGTGGATTTCAGATGTCCCCATAAAAAGTAATCCATCGGTGTAAGGTCTGGGGAACGTGGTGGCCAGTTTGCAGGTGCATCATTACCTCTGCCTATCCATTTGTGTGAATATTGTTCATTCAAGTGGTTTCTAACGTTTAAAGAAAAATGTGGTGGAGCTCATAGAAATAGTATAGAAAGCCGATTCCATATATCAAAAATGAAACCATAAGGAGAAAATAGTGTGTCGGAGCTCATGCGTATAATGGTGCTGGCGCGAACAGGACCGGTGCAAGTTTTTTATTGATCGAACAAATAGTTCGCACGATATTTCAATCATACATTTTTAGAGATGATTATATACAAAAAACGATTAAAAAAATTTCAAGTTAAGGTAAATATGGTTCTGGCAGTCCTTATTAAGAAAGATATGGCATAAAATATGAATTAGTTAATTTTCGGCAATCATTAGTACAGTAGTCATGAGATTTTGCTTGTGATTTTAAAAATACTTTCCAGAAAAACCACGTGCTCCGGTTTTGACTACGTTTATTATTAAACAGCGAAATTATATACAAAAACTTTAATCCACAATCTAAATTAGGTATTATCACAAGAAAATCACTGTTACAATAATTAATTACTTAACCAAAAACTAAAATACTTTTTAGGTACCTACGTAACCAGAAAGGAGCTGGACCATTTATCCTAATATTGATTTTCTCTCTCCCTACGGTAAAACTTAAAACAATAACAAATTGCCTATCTACTAGGGTCGGTAACTAAACGTATATACATAATGGGCGGATTTTGTTTATACTAAACATTACACTCGCGCATTTAAATATAACTATGCATATAAATATTTACAAACAAAGATACTTTGGCAAACAGGCAATCATTAGTACTGTAGTCACGAGATTTTGCTTGTGATTTGACATCTTATTTGATAATATCATTTGCTACAACTAAATTTAATCTGGGGAGTGCAAAATAGGGCCCAGGAATATTATGTTCGATATTTTTTTACATTTTGTCAGCCGAGACTATGAGTCGTTAGACAGAAAACCTTTCATGTTACCATTTTCAATATAAATTAAAAAATTAAAAAATACTACTACATTTACTTGGTACATATTTTATTTTAATTTTGAACCCTTTTAAAAGGGTCTTTCGGTTCCATAATAAAAATTAGTTGCTGCTTACTAGAAACATTCTATATAGCCTAAACCAATTTATAGTTTGTTTTCGATCAATTTAATACAAAGATTTAAAGTTTTTAGTCGATGATAACATTCCACACCAGCACATTGCAAACCTATTTTATAAATAATGGGAATAAACTTGTAAATCATTAATTTGGTAGTTATCTCACTCATATGATTTTTTTGTTTATATGACTATTTCGATTTCTAAATATATTTTGGCCTTACAATACGAAGCGTTTTGTATCTACCACTTTTTTAATGAACGATGAATGTTGGCAGGCGTGTACCTTTTTCGGAACAAGAGGCGTTTTAACGAAGGAAATGATTTTCGAACTATCTAGTTAGTTTTCGGAAAAATAGAAAACGTTTGAAGAAAGTTGTCAATAACAGTTTGTCGTTCATGTGTTTCATTTTGATCAGCTTTCATACTAAATTGCGTAGAATATTTTTCCGATTCAAAATCGAGATTCTCGATATTTCCACAGTTTATTTATAATACCTTCTAAACTGGATTTATCTATCATTTTATATACTTTATAATATATGTTCATGCCCTACTTTTCACTTTATTAACAATTTTTTTTTAACATACTTCAAAATGGTAGGATATTCTCAATTCGTTGAAATATTTTTTTATGTATGTTGAGCGATAATTCTTTACTACGTTGCCCGATTTCTAGGATTATTTTTGTTATATACATTAAGTCAAGCTCTGAAGATGGGATCCATAAGAAAATCATTAACATCTTTATTTTTAAAGTAGGTTTTTTTTTAAATTTCTTTAAACCTTACTGGTTCGAACGCGGTAAGGAATGAAGAAATGTAAATAATTGTTGTGCCAGCCAAAAAGCGAAGAGGAAGTACCGATTAAAATATCGAGTGACAGAAGAGTTCCTAAGATTGTTGAGATCGGGTTTATGTTTTAAAATGCCTTAAAACCGATATCGATAATGTCTCCCCGTCGCTGGGCAGCCTGTATATAAATATACAGCTCTCTATTTACATAATTATAATTCTTAGGTAGGTTTAGATTTGCAGACATAAATCTTGTAATAAATATAACAGCTGCCTAATACATTGATTACATTTTCATTAGCCAATGTAAAAATGTCTTTTATTGTACCTAGGATTTGACTAAACACTACACAAAACTAAAAATAAAATGCCACTTTCATCGTGTAATTAATGCCGCGTTTGAGAATCCACATCGGATGCATTTTTTACATCTCGAGCGTTTTTTATCCACATCGGACACATCTGTCCCATTACATTTACGTATACTGAATCACGTGATCAAAGATTTACTACTTACTACATCTCAGATGCATTCGATGTGGATTCTCAAATGCGGCATAAACAATAAACTACAAACGGTCCTGTAAGGGCAGCGTCATATAGCCTTGAAACACCGGATTTTAGTGCTATTGCCAGGTCAATATTGAATTTGTAGGTGAATCGCTTATTGAACATTAAAAATACGGTATTAATGACATTAATACGGTATTTTTATATATTTTTGGGAATGTAATTACACATAAATATTATTAGTTGATTATTTAAATGTGTATAAGTTATTTTGTGGCGATATTTCGTAGATATAAACTGTTTAAATCATATAATTTAAAAATTAATTAATTTAAAATTCTTTTCTGTTAGGTATGTTTAATATATTTGGCAACACTACAGGGACAAGTCATGCATATTGCGCAAGCTTCTAGACACACTATTTTGCGATGTCAGGCGCAGAGACGCGTTTTTATGCACAGTAGGTTTCAATTTCTGCTTAAATGTTATGTTTATATTGGTCTTCTATATTATTTCTATGGTGGAGCTTCATCTTGCATAATCCACATATCTCTCCGAAGTTGGAGAGGTAAATCTTCTAACAATTCTGACAACGTATTTTGTAGAAAATCCAAATAATTTTCTCCAGTTAATCTTCGTGGAAGTATGACAGGACCAACAATGAAATTACCAATTATTCCAGCCCACACATTAATTTTGAATTCGTGCTGAAAATGGTTTACCCTTATTGCATGCGGATTTTCAACAGCATAAACATGTTCATTATGGGTATTAGTTATACCTCTTCTTGTAAAACCCGCTTCATCGGTAAAGAGAACCTTCTTGACAAAGTTTGGATCTCTTTCTCTTTGCATATTAACAAATCGACAAAAACCCAAACGAATTTGAGGATCATGGACTAATAATTCTTGTACTGGCTTCTTATGGTATGGATATAGCAATTGTGCTCTAAGCACTTTATGAACGACATCTTTACTTACTACTAGTTCCCTTCCAATTCGTCTGGTGCTTAATTCTGGATCTTCTTCAACACGTTCTAAAATGTCTTCTTCAACTTCAGGAATCCTTACAAAACGTTTCTCTTCCATTATCAACAGTGTTGGCAGCAAAGGAACCGGTCTCCCGAAGACGTCTCTCAACAGCAGCAAAAGTTGGGTGGCTAGGTACACGACGATTTAGAAACCTTTAGAGCTGTTACGGAATAGTTTTTTGACGTATCTAGTACGACCTGTACCTGTTCCAAGTAGATACCTATTCCAAATACCTATTCCCGTTACAAGCTATTCTAACTCTAAATTTTATGACAAATATGGCAAATATTCAGCAGGGAGTAGGGGAATCCCTGAATCTGGTGAATCCCATAAGCATAATATACTGGATTGTCTCTGATATTTAATATCGATCGATATTGCATTGAACTTAATAACATTAATTAATTTATTGTTCATTATGAATAGACGTTCGAGTGTAGTGTGGATTTTTTTTTCGGTGGTAGATGACAAAAAATAAATTACAAAATGTAATGTGCAAAACAGTAATTTCTAAAAAAAACCAGTGCCTAATTAAAAAAAAACACCTTCTAAGAAAGCACCTTACAGTACAATCACAGCTTATACAATACAGCTCCACAACTCCGTGTCGGCGTCTTTGATCTGGCGGTCGAGAACCAAGCAAGACGGAATGGTGCTATCTCTGTTAGATTCAAGGGAAAAGTCGGGCCCGGATTAAACAATTTTTTTATTATTGAAAAAATTGAAAACCTTGGCGTAATAAGGTTGGTCACATGCCATATTAAGTAAGTTTTGGGAAATTACATTTTTAATTTGTTTTAAATCTTTCAAATATAATTAAAAAAATTATTTAAATATAAATATTACGAAAAATAGCACATCTTTCGGATTAGAGGTAAAATAATTTATATATGGCTAGTAAAATCCTCGTTAACAAATGTTTTGAGCTAAAACAGTCACTTCACGACAAATTGTGACTTGGATCCTTTTTACACCAAGGGCTTCAATTGTTAAAGAAATGTGTCACGCTCGTGGATGCAAATCAAGTGGTACCCCGTGTCTCTGGCAAGTGTTACTCTTCGCGCAAAGGGTTTATACCTAGATAAACGAATGCTTCGACTGAGGTCTGGGAACTCTATGGTATTTTGGAATTATAAAGAATTTGTGCTTTTATTTTAACAATATTGGTTATATTTAGATGTATTCTTATTAATTGAAATACAGATTTGTAGAAGTAATACTTTAACAGTTTTTATTAATATAATATATTCAATTTTTATCTGACCATACCGAAGTAGGGAATTTTGAAACTTTATAGTAATGTGAAATTTGAATTACAATATTACACGATATTACATAATTAGTACTTATTTTAGGTAGGTACTAAATTTGTACTTGGAGAAAGTAATATCGATTTTTACAAGAAAACTTGAAAAGTAAATTAATTTAGTTCTTATTTCTGATGTAAAACTTAAACCAAGAAAACAAATAAATTGTAGTTTGTTCAACAAGGGTGGATATGATAGCCATATCACACAAAGACGAAGTTTGAGCACGACGTCGTAGGCGGAGTACTCAATCGTCTGATTGTGATATGAACAATCCACTCGATATGGTCAGTATATTTTTTCTACGACCCACTAACGAAAATCTACAAATTTAAAAAATTATTTTAGGTTATTTAGACAAAATAACTAATTTTAAAATAATTTACGAAGTTGACTAATTTATAAAATAAAATAAACATGAAAAATTGATTAGTCCTCGGCCTAAATTCGATCCCGGACTTTTCGCGTGGAAGGCAGATGCTCTGTCTTCATCTTCACCGAAACTTTCAGGACTTTAGTTTTAATACTCGTAATTAAATTAGTATCATGTAGTTCAATTAAAATTTTTTTTTTTTAAATGTGGACACAATAGAAACAAAAATGCTATTATTTATCGAGTCTGCACAAAAATTTTAATGTATATTTAATATCAATAACTAAAATATATATTGACAATTAGTTTAACAGAATTGTCACTTATTTAAAAAATTTTAAATAATAGGAGTTGGGTGACCAAAATATGAACTGTGATTTGTAGATTTCATTTTGTTAAAGTGTTCTTACTACCTAAAATGGATATGAAATATATTCGTAGTTGAACACAATAACATACTTTTTCGTTTTGTAGTATGTGCGTAGATTGGCTAATATCCATGCACAGATTACAAAACGAAAAAGTATGCTATTGCCTTCAATTGAACGAATATATTTCATATCCATTCTAGGTAGTGAGAACACTGCAAAAAAAAATAAATTCGCCAATCACCGTTCATATTTTGATCAACCGACTGCTATTATTTTTAAAATTTTAAATAAATGACAATTCTGTCAAACTAATTGTCAGTATATTTTTTAGTTATTGAGATTAAACATACATTAAAATAAGTTATTCTTTTGGAAAACGATAGCATGGATGACTAAAGGGTATTGGGTTAATTAATTCTAAAAGTGTGGTACAAATGTTATTTTTTGTAGCCAATTCTTCAAAATTATTTTGAAATATCTTTTCAATATTGAATATTAGTTCTACAAATTCATCATTTGACAGTTGCAGATTTCCAAATGTATCTGAATTGACGTTATCATATGCCTTTAAAAAGCAATAAAAAGAAAAATCATCTATTTCAAAGTGATCTTTGTTATATTTAAGACAGGTATCGCAGGAGTGGATCCGCAAGGCTTTTATTAAAAGGTAACCACACACATACCTGATAAAAATTTTCTGTAGCAATTCGTCTTTACAATAATTTAGGGTGTTAATAATTTCATCATAAAATAAAATACAAGGTGTTCCATTTAAAAAACATACATTTTAATTTGCCAGGCAAAAACGTGACACCCTGTATATCCAAAGATATTTTTAAAATATGTAGGTATTTTTCAAATCCATATAACTTTTATTTAAAATTTTCTTGCGTGTCTACAACAAAATAATGAACAATAACGCACTAATGGGACACCCTGAATAAATTATATTTTTAACAATGAAAATTTCTTATAATGTGGTACTTATCGGTTTGGGTCCTTGGGAGAACTAAAGAATGTTTTCTTGCAGGTATAACCCTTATTAAAACAGCTTTTGACTGCACAAACAGAATGATGTCTTTTTTTTCATTCATTCTACTCACAGCTAAAGAGTCACCAAAATAATAACAGTACCTTTAACTCAAACAAAATCAACGAAATTATAGGCTCCACGAAATTATACAATCAACGAAATTATACGCACGACTCAACACCTTGCCTAAGTACGCTTCTGAACGCCAAAACCGTCTTTTCCCTTCGAAGGCGGAGCTTAAGCGATGCGCGACGAAATCGACGCAAACCGTTGCCGCCAAGAGAGTGTTTTAGCTGTATTGTTAAGCTGTGGTACAATTACAATTACTTTGAATAATTTTAAAAATGTCACTAGTTCGTAAATATTCTTCTGTATTATAAACATTATACGAGTAATCCCTAAAGAACTACCTACAAGCAAGAGAGTTGAAACATCAAACGAAAAACGAAACCTAATACAAAAATACTGAATAGGTACACAAACGTATTACAAGTTGCCTGACTAATCCCACATCATTCCGTTTCAATTACGAACATCAGTTACAACTTACAACGCGCGATAGCATCCAGTGACACAAGTAATAGGTTTGTGTGAAATTTGGTAACAGGTACGCGGAATAGGCAGGAGATACCTATTCCAAAGTAACAGGTCCAGTTCCATTGTAACAGCCCTAGAAACCTTTCAGAGTACACCCTGACACTCTCTCGAGCATTTCCTTCACAAAATCCTAATGTCAGTAACATATCGGTATATTCTGCATTAGTATATTGTACAGCCATATTAATAAACCACGCATTTGTTTTTTTAATTATTGAGTCAGATAGAACACTTTCAATCGTTAACAAGAGATTAGGTGTTAAAACTTGACTATTCTTTTATTCAGATGAAACTATGGAAACCAACAATAAATGTTTTTGTATACGTATTGCAGGCAAATAATTAATATTCCTTGAAAAATCGTACATGGCAAGAATCGAGTATTTTTGTTAAAAGTCTCGATTAGAGGTGTTGAAGAAGAAAAAGTAAATTTTTACAGATCCCTGGCGGAATATTCGACTTTTCTACAAACTTTTTTTTTTTCACAGAGATTTCTCTGGAATAAACGAATTGTTCCCAGGTTAGTTCTTTCTTTTCTGCTTGCTGATGGTCAGACTGTGCACTGTGTTTTTCGAGTTTAGATTCACAGATGTTTCAACCGATTTAAAAGCCTTTTCATATAAATGTTTTGAAAGCACTGTGGACTCACCCGTAGTCTCTGGTTCGCACTACTGTTACTTGGGGGAGTAATATTGTCAGACAAAATTTGCAAGAAGGAAAAATTAAAACGAAAATTTAGGTACGATAGCATTCAGAATTGATGAAAATACTGACTTATTCATTTTACATTCATATCAAATTCTTATTATGGTTTGACTTACCAATTGATGGTCTATATATTCCTACTGGTAAACCAGTTCCATGTTCTTTTATTAAAGATTCTGCCAAAGCTTTTGTGAAAGTATAAGTATTTGGCCATTTTCCGATGATTCTAAAAATATGAACTATTTTATTTCACAATAGATGTACTTATTATAAATTTCATTCCCAACTTTTACAAAAAAGGAATATACATTCTGAAAACACATCCGATGCATCCAAAGAGTGATTCATGATTAGATTTAAATGTAATAAACAGAAGCTCTAGATGTATTAGTGACGTGGAAAGAATGAAGTTTAGGAATATACTTAGATAAAAGAGACCAGAGATATAACATACACCGGTTTTAAACCTGCGCAAATGTTACCAATTTCTAAAGAAGGGTTAACGGAGTGGGGGAACTGGGCGGCGACACGCGGCGACCCGAACTCTATGACAGGGACCGGACTTTGTTTATTAGCAACTTAATGAACTATTAGGTTTATTTAAAAGGTGTTTAATCGAATTTTGTATTATGAAATCAAATTATCGTGATTTTTTAATATCAAACAGATGCCACGACATTTTATGTAAAGAGAAGACCTTTTATAGAATATTTTGTTAGCGTTTATTTACTACGGACTTTTCTGCAAGAGATTACAGTGAAATGTTGAAATAGAATATATTGTTAATAGAGCAAAAAATGTTACTCATTGTCTACGAGTATTATAAAAATAGCATGTGCGCAGGCTAATACTGCAAATCTACCCTTATGAGTCGAACATTATATTTTTTCTACGGCTATTACATATTATTAAAAATTAGTCAAAATGAGAAAATGCTGTTTTGTATTGTAACCTCAGAAAAAGTATATTAAGGCTTCTTTCTTTAAGAATATTAATTATTATAAAGCATGAGTCACATAAAACTCTAGAAATGCATATGTCTGAAACCAGATAACATTTTAAAATTTAAATCTATTAAAAGTCATTTGATCGCTAGGGATGAGTGATTATCGAAATAAATGATCGATAATTGAAAATAATCGATTATTTTCGATCAATAGATTATTTTCAAACAATATATTTTTTGTCATTTCCTTTAAAATCGACTACTTGATTATCTTTGAAAAATAAAAAATAATCGATTAATTAAAAAGCCAATTAACCGATAAATCAGTGTTTACAAAATATAATATAAATAGAATTATCGTTTATTTTAAATAATCGATTATTTTCAAATAAACCATTTTTTTTCGTCCATGGAAACAGATTATTCGATAATCTTTGAAAAATCGAAAATAATCGATTAATCAAAAATAATCAATTAATTAAAAAGTCGATTAACTGATAAATCGATTTAAAAAAAAACAGAATGATCGATTATTTTAAATAATTGATTATTTTCGATCAATCGATTATTATCAATAATCTATTTTTATTGTATTTCCTTTAAAATCGATAATTCGGTTATCTTTGAAATACCAAAAATAATCAATAATTCCAAAATTATTGCCTAATCGAAAATAATCAATTAATTAAGAAGCCGATTCTATGATAAATCGATTTTCCAAAAAATAAAACGAATTATCTATTATTTTCTAATAATCCTTTTTTCATATTTCCTTTGAAATTAATTATTCGATTATCGAAAATAATTGATTATTAAAAAGCTGATTATCCAATAAATCGATAATTTTAAAAAAATAATCAAAATATCGATTATGTAAAATAACCGATTATATTCAATCGATTATTTTCATATAATATCTTTGAAAAATCGAAAATAATCAAATAATTAAAAAACCGATTAAACGATAAATCGATAATTTTGAATAAATCTACTTTTTCTGTATTTCCTTTAAAATCGATTAATACATTATCTTAAAAAAAAAAACGAAAATAATTTATGAAAAACAGCGGATAAATCGATTTTCATTAAAAAATATCAGAATTATCGATAAATCGATTATTTTTGTAACCCCTATCGGTCGCTTGCTTTTATCTGAGCATTTAGCTCCAAAATTTAGAGATTCGGATTTTTTGATCCAGTTATCTTTGAAATCGCATTCGCTTGTATAACAAATAAATATTGATAAATTTTGGATTTTTTTTAGTAAACGAAAATTATGTTCGAGTTGTTTAGGGGTTTGTAATGTAACATTTTATTAACGTGACTAAGGGTCGATTCCACCGTTGTGTTAAACGAAGTTTAAAATGACATTTTTACATTAACACTGTCATTTTAATCTCCGTTTAACACAACGGTTAGTATTTTTTTTTTGCTTATACTAAATGACTTTGTTTTAAGACTGAAAATTCAATGTCACTTTCGATTTGACCGCAAATAAGATGAACCTTGAAATTTTAAGTAGGTCATCCTGTATTTCATCTAATATTCTTATAAAAATACCTTATAAAAATAAAATTTAGCTAGCAACTATGATTCTTTACCTCTTATTTATCTACCAAAAAGGGCTAAAAACTACCTTTAGAAAACATTCTTATAAAACTACTTTTTAAATACAAAATTTCGTTAGCAATAATGCCTATTTACTATTTATTTAAATTAAATGTTCAAAATTTTACCCTTTTGTAAATTTATGTAAGTAATATGAAAGCTGATTTCTGATGCTTAATATTTATTGAAACCCCTTAATGCGGATCTGAAGTATTCGGCCCAGAGAATCATGGCGCTTTATGTCAAAACGTTAATAAATATTTACCGCTGAAAACGAATATATTCATAACAGTAGTACTTGTATTATAAGTACATACAATTTTTCAAGATACATCGTGACATTTTGAACTTGAAATTGAATAACTAGAACACTTTAAATTGCTAAAATACCAACAAATAAATCAAAAAACTGCTGTCAATGGTGATTAAACTCAGGTGGAGGTGTGATCGCTGAATGGAAATCGGAGCAATTCGGGTGGCGTCGTGCAACAATGATTTTCAATTGGTGGGTTACTTTGGCTTAAAATAGACAGCATGCGCAGTGTCTAATGTTACATCTTCGGTCTCTTTAATCTAAGGGAATATAATATTCTACGAAATCAAATAATTAAAAAATTTCGAAAATAACCGAAAAGCCAGATCACCATAAAACAAATCTGGACTTTCGTATGGCTCAGATTTGTTCTGTATGTTAGATAATAATAAAATAAAACATACATACCCTGGAGTCATTGTGGTTATTTCGGTATCGCTGTATTTTTCAATTATGGATGCAATATCTTGGTAAGACATAGGAAAATCATATATTTTCTCTTCGATTACGTCATTTGGGCAGTTACTGTAAGCTGTAGAAACATGTACCACTGACTGAAATAGTAATATTTATTTAAAAAGGAATACAAAAAATTTAGTAGTATGATAAAGAAGCGAATACCTTAAATATTGGCATTACAAGGTCTATAGGATGTTTTTTCTGCTAATTTTGCCTCACCCTGTATTTACAAATTGATTTTAACAATTTAATCTTCAAATTGATTTTACAATATGGACATTACATCAATCAAAATAGATAGCTTATGCAAAAAGTAGATTCATATTCACACACGGGTGAAAAGTAGATTCTTATTGACACGCGTATGGCATAAGGTACGTACCATAATATTTATTGGTGTGTAAAAACTTACTTTTAAATGTTTAATATCTCTAGCCAAATCTAAGACATCTTTGGTTCCATTAACGTTGATGGTAAATGAAAATTTTAAATGGGCTTCTAGTTTAACACTAGCAGCGATGTGGAATACAATGTTTGTTTTGTCAATTAATTCATTTCTATCGGTAGTACTGAGGCCTAATCCAGGATGTGCACAATCGCCTTCGACGGGTTGAATCTTTTGTTTAAAACTTGCATTGTGTTGTTTTAATTTGTTAAAAATCTAGAAATAAATGGAGAGATAAAAATTATTAAAAATAAATTCAAAAATAAAATGTCTTTACAAAAACATACCACATATTACTTAGATCAAAATAAGTCGATTTAAGTAAAATTACCTTAGTACAAAGTTGCTACGTTTGGGCTCCAGGACAATTGAAGTTACAATTTTTAAATCGTTTTTCCCATATAAATTTAAAACGGCATATGCGATTTTGCTGAAATTTGGTATATTGGTAGAGTGTCAGGGTGTACTCTGAAAGGTTTCCAAATCGTCGTGTACCTAGCCACCCAACTTTTGCTGCTGTTGAGAGACGTCTTCGGGAGACCGGTTCCTTTGCTCCCAACACTGTTGATAATGGAAGAGAACGTTTTGTAAGGATTCCTGAAGTTAAAGAAGACATTTTAGAACGTGTTGAAGAAGATCCAGAATTAAGCACCAGACGAATTGGAAGGTAACTAGGAGTAAGTAAAGATGTCGTTCATAAAGTGCTTAGAGAACAATTGAAGGGGTTAGAAGCAAAAGGGTACAAGTGCATATTTGCCACAAAATGAGTTAGGTACAGATTTGGGTAATAAAAAGTCCAAATTATGTAGTGGCATAAGGATCCAAATGAATTTAATACCTGTGGTGCCATCTATTGGCGAGTGAAAATTACATAGAAATAAAAATGTAGAAAACGTTAGCGGCAAAACGGTACAAGTGCACTTGTACCGTTTTGCCTCCAGACGTATGTGGTAAAAATTATAGGTTATGTACTTGTATGAATTCTATGTTTCTGGGACCTATTCTCGTGTAAATTTAATTTAATCTAAATAATATGAGTGAAAACAGGAACAGTGATAAACGTAGATGTGCTAAAGGTAAGGCAATACTAATTTATTATAAATTTATTTTAATCATTCATTAAAATAAATTTTTCAGTTGATTTGCAAACATTAACCCATACAATGTTTTTATATTTCACAGGATCCCAAGTATATAAACCTGATAAGCATGATTCTGACGATGATTCGGATCCATACGCAACTGATGAGGACACTGAATATTATTATAAGAATGCATTAAAAATTTCATATGAAAAGTATGAGAATTTAAGGACATTATTAGACTATATACCGCCTTGCCATCACCAATTTTATGTTGATTTGCCTCATGAGGGTAAAAAAGGCAAGAAAGGGAGAAAAACAGCTAATCCAACCGAGGTAGATATACCGCCAACTCCCGAGGTAGATCTAGATATACTGCCAACTCAGGCATCAGAAATCGAAAGTGATACAGACAACAATTTTACGGACCTGTTGGACTCGGATTATGATGATTAATTAATGTTCACGTTATTATGTTAATTATCTAAGCTAAAAATAAGTTTGTTATTTTCACTAATAAAACATTGCAAAATACAAAGTTTTATACATTTATTTGCAGGCAAAACGGTACAAGTGCACAAAAAAACAAAAAGGGGCAATTTTTGAAAAAGTGTCTTATGCTAACAAATTTTATGACAGTGCAACGTATAGGTTGCTGAAAAAACGAAAAACGCAATAGCCCTCTGGATTTTACTATAAAACAAAAACTTTAATGTTGAATAACTCCATTTCTCTTTTTTGTCACTTATACCCTTTTGCTTCTTACCCCTTCAATTGCTATATCCATACCATAAGAAGCCAGTACAAGAATTATTAGTCCATGATCCTCAAATTCGTTTGGATTTTTGTCGATTTGTTAATATGCAAAGAGAAAGAGATCCAAACTTTGTCAAGAAGGTTCTCTTTACCGATGAAGCGGGTTTTACAAGAAGAGGTATAACTAATACCCATAATGAACACGTTTATGCCGTTGAAAATCCGCATGCAATAAAGGTAAACCATTTTCAGCACGAATTCAAAATTAATGTGTGGGCTGGAATAATTGGTAATTTCATTGTTGGTCCTGTCATACTTCCACGAAGATTAACTGAAGAAAATTATTTTGATTTTCTACAAAATACGTTGTCAGAATTGTTAGAAGATTTACCTCTCCAACTTCGGAGAAATATGTGGTTTATGCAAGATGGAGCTCCAGTACATTTTTCTTTAAACGTTAGAAACCACTTGAATGAACAATATCCACACAAATGGATAGGCAGAGGTAATGACGAACCTGTAAACTGGCCACCACGTTCCCCAGACCTAACACCGATGGATTACTTTTTATGGGGACATCTGAAATCCACAATTTACAGGGAACCTGTAGAAAATAAGGAACAACTCTGGCAACGTACTCAAGATGCAATAAACAATCTTAGAGGTGATGAAGAAGTTATGGAAAGGATACATTTTAATTTTCTTCGACGTATAAATCTTTGTATGCGTGAAAATGGTGAACATTTATGAACAATTTTTGTAAAATCTCTATTTTGATTATGTTGTAAATAAATATTTTTGTGAAACCTATACACTCTAAATTATTAAAACAGAAATTTAGCGAAAACCATGAGAGTAATCGAGTCTTATCAAGAGTACCTTTTTTAAAGTAAATGAGTTTCGCAATCTAAATTTCATACTCAAACTCCTTTTCTTCTATTGGCGTAGAATTTTTACAAGTGCAATTATTTAAAAAATCAAGTTCTACGCCTATGTATTATTATCGGACAAAATTTTAATACCATTTTTTTTGCCACATAAAACTCTGCCAATATAATATATTTCAGCAAAATCGCATATGCCGTTTTAAATTTATATGGGAAAAACGATTTAAAAATTGTAACTTCAAGGCCCTCTGGAGCCCAAACGAAGCAACTTTGTACTAAGGTAATTTTACTTAAATCGACTTATTTTGGTCTAAGGAATAGGTGGTATGTTTTTGTAAAATTACTCCTTCAGAAGGGCCTCGGGTGGCGTGTTGAATATATCGGGCCTCGCTTTTGTAGTTGTAAATATAAGTATGTCTCGTCCAGTTATATTGTTTTTGGTAACTTCTATATATGCCGTTTAAAAAAAAATAAAATGTTATGTTCTAAATATTTCATGAGATATTGTACATGATACTGTTGAATATTTAAAAAAAAATGTAGAAAAATTTGAAAGAATGTAAAAAAAATGTTAAAAAATGTAAAAAAATGTAAAAAATGTAAAAAAATGTAAAAAAATGTAAAAAAATCTGATGTGTCCAACACATGACTTTCCTATCTAGTTAACCTATTGCAGCATCTCTAAAAATGTTTATAGGATAAACTAAATATATACATTTTCCACATACATCTACCTCGAAACATTTTTCTATAGATATTCATTGAAAACGAAAATACTGAAAAAATTTAATTTAGCACTTTTCCTCCAATTTTTCTATTACGGTCCATTTTAGAAAAGTCATTTAAAAACAAAAATTATAGAGATCGATATCGCAAACAACTTTTAGATTAACAATTTTCTTCAAAATCAGAATTATGCACATTTTGTCAAATTTCTCGAATACGGACCATTTCAGGAAAATTTGACATAGAACAAAAATTATAGATAATAATATTGTAAATAACTTTTATTTAAAGAATTTTCTTCTCCAAACGTAAATAACAGATATATTCCATAAAATATAAAAATGACCACCTATAAAGTACCCCCCCAGATGTTCCGACTCTGCCCAAAATCTAATCAGCTCATTGGACGCTGAAACACAGCTTAAGTTTAAAATTTGGTGTTTTTCTGTGTATCGGTTCATGAGTTAAGCGACCTACAGACACACACACACACACACACACACACACACACACACACACACACACACACACACACACACACACACACACACACACACACACACACACACACACACACACACACACACACACACACACACACACACACACACACACACACACACACACACACACACACACACACACACACACACACACACACACACACACACACACACACACACACACACACACACACACACACACACACACACACACACACACACACACACACACACACACACACACACACACACACACACACACACACACACACACACACACACACACACACACACACACACACACACACACACACACACACACACACACACACACACACACACACACACACACACACACACACACACACACACACACACACACACACACACACACACACACACACACACACACACACACACACACACACACACACACACACACACACACACACACACACACACACACACACACACACACACACACACACACACACACACACACACACACACACACACACACACACACACACACACACACACACACACACACACACACACACACACACACACACACACACACACACACACACACACACACACACACACACACACACACACACACACACACACACACACACACACACACACACACACACACACACACACACACACACACACACACACACACACACACACACACACACACACACACACACACACACACACACACACACACACACACACACACACACACACACACACACACACATACACACACACACACACACACACACACACACACACACACACACACACACACACACACACACACACAGGCAGCATCGCGAAAATAGTCAAAACGGATTCAGGGGACCTCAAAACGTAAAAATCCGTCGGAAACTCGAGGTCGAAAAAATCATGATTCCTATACTTTCCTTATATATATATAGGAAAGTAAAAATGTAGAAAAATTTGAAAGAATGTAAAAAAATGTTAAAAAATGTAAAAAAATGTAAAAAAATGTAAAAAAATGTAAAAAAATGTAAAAAAATGTAAAAAAATGTAAAAAAATGTAAAAAAAATGTAAAAAAATGTAAAAAAATGTAAAAAAATGTAAAAAAATGTAAAAAAATGTAAAAAAATGTAAAAAAATGTAAAAAAAATGTAAAAAAAGGTAAAAAAAATGTAAAAAAAATGTAAAAAAATAATGTAAAAAATGTAAAAAATATAAAAAATTTAAAAAATGTAAAAAAATGTAACGA